GAGTAAAAAGATCCCTCCTCATATATATATATATATATATATATATATATATATAGTTATGACTACAAATCTATCATGGTTAATAAAATAATACTTCCCATTGGTAAATAAATTGTCTAAAATACAAACATTTTTTTCTTCAAATGCACAACACAATAATTCCTATATAGTCTTTATAACACTCCTTGAGTTTGTTCCTACTGCTCCTCACCGATACATATGGAAAGATGTCGAGTAAAATGTTTTTCAATTTATTTCAAGAGATGAGGATTTAAAAAAAAAATTAGCATTAAAACATAGTCATAACACACAATCCACTTGTATGATACCACTTAAATCCTAATGCAAAGACAATAAATAAAAAATCTGCGGTCAAGTTTATGTAGGGTTCAAAATGAATTTAATGACTGCTGCTTTCAACTAGATCATCAGCTTTTATCGTGTAAGCAAATGTGGATTGCCAGAAAAGCAACAAAATATATTTAACAACGGATTTAATTAGAAACAAAAGTTTCCATGTTATCTTTCTAAACCATATGCAAATAGGTACCTGCTGCTAGACTAAGCCAAGTTCACCATATCAGAGAAAACATTTTACATAATTAGATTGGCCAAGGTGAAAATACTTAATTAAACAACAACAATAAAAAATGCAAAAATATCTCCAGAATGGTGAGCTAGAGTACATATGTAAAACAAATTCAACATGTAAGAGAAACACACAGACAAGAAGAAAGAGCATGCCCCAACACCAAGTTCCTGGGCTTAGAATCATTGGAAAAATAGTACTAAACAAGTGTCAATATCTAATTGTACAAAGAGCATATCACATATTACAGACTACCACAACAAGTAAAAAATCCACATATGAGCAAAGCATTAGGAGTGCAGAAGGGTTGGTGATGCAAGCAACTTTCTCAAAAAAGGACTTTGAGCCCCTAAATGCTCGAATTCAGTAGCTTTGAACTACAATTACAAAAATACAATAAAGATATAACAGACTATTGAAAAAAAATGCACTCAACAACCAGACTATTAAAAAGGAAAAACCAGTTTTTAATTTCATTCATGCATTCATTCAAACACCCGGCAGGCACTAGAAAATCAACTCTTAATGACTCCAACATAAATCATTTTCACAATTCTAGAAATCTATCTAATAGCACCTGTTAGTGATCAATAATTGGTATCATATAGATCAAAACACAAACAGCATAATATGAATAAAAAAAATATAGAACCAAATCACAGTCAAAACGGAAAAAATATCATCTTACAGAGAAAAAAACAAACATTTCAAAGATAGTATAGAAACATGGAAGCCCAGAAAAAAATTTTTTCACCTAAAAAAAAAAAAAAAAAAAAAAAAAAAATTGTCTAGTGTGCCACAAAGACAAGGGAAAATTTACGTGTGGTCTGAATTGAAAGCAAAAGCAGAGAGAATTAGAGGTCGAGACCGATTGGTGATACTTTTATGAGTAAACTGTAGTGAATAATTGTGTAACTGACGTGGCAAAATATATACAGTAGATCTTCTTTGATGCAAAGGAACAAATAAAGGAGAATGATGAGAAGAAGTAGAATATGAGTGGTCAAATCTAAGGGAAGAAGAAGCTGAAGTTGCATGCTAACCACTTACGGAGAAGAAAAAAATCAAAGTCTCATGTCATCGAAAACAACCTAAATGAACGACTTTGAATTAAGCACATCAGATACAACAATTGTCTAACAAGTGTTGTTATAAACAAACTTCCATAATTTAAAATACCTAAAATGGAGCTGTGTCTAATAAAAAAATATTTTTTAAAGGAAAAAGTGGGAGAAGAGGAGAGGAAAGAGTTGTTGAGTATCCGGCTGTGGGAATCAAGAATTTAGGGCTTATTTCGTTTATTTTATAAATAAATTAGTATTTTTTAATATTATACAAAATAATTATTTATTTTATATAATTAAATTTATAATAAATAAACATTTATATATATATATATATATATTATAGTTAAATTTTATAATAAAATATATTTTTAAATACATATAATATATTATAAATTTTAAGATAAATAATTTATATTATGATATAAAATTATTTTTTTATTATTGATAATTTGCTAAAAAATTATTGAAACAAATATGAAAAGTATATATTTAAAAGAGATACAAGGTTAAAGATTATTGAAATAAATATAAAAAATATATAGAAGGATAATATTTAAAATTTGAAGATAAAATATATTTTTAATATTTTACTTTTTGTTAGATAAAAGATCGCTGGTTTGATATAAATAAACATAATAAACAATTGTAAAGTATACTGTTAATAAGAAAATTCAAATAAAAAAAAATGTCAAAGTGTATGAAAAAAGTGAAATATTTATAAAGAATTATTATATATATATTGATCTTATATGTATTACAGTATTAGTTATTTTTAAAATATTAATCGAGATAACAATAGGTCAAATCTTAAATAAGGGTCTATGTCTTAATATTTTTAAAGTTTAATTTGCTTAATAAAAAGGCTGAGTTTAGATTTTTAAAAATGTTTACTTATATAAAAAGGTCAAGTTTAAGCTTACAGAAAAATCTGTTAAGTTTGATAATCAATCTATTTATTTATATAATATAATAAAAAAATTAATATATATATATATATATGTTATTAAAAATATAATTAAATTTATAAAAAAAATAAATTATTGATATTTAAAATATTTTTTTATATAATTATTTTTTCATTATAAATTTATAAACTTATGATTTGTACATAGTGTATATCAACATGGTTATACATGAATTATTCTTTCAATAGAAAATGATTTAATTTTTTTACATTTTTTTACATTTTTTTAAAATTTAAATTTTAATAATATTGAGTAAATTATATTTTGAAGATAATTTTTTAATTTTTAAAAATTAAATTTATTGACTTAATTAACATTAATAATTTAAATATACTTTTAAATAATTAATAGACTAGACAAAGGCTTTAAAAAGGTTAGGCCTATAAAAAAAATATGATAAATAATATACCAGACTTAAACTTTAATTTTGTAGAATAGGCTCAATCTATATATTTAAGTCTCATTTGGTCTAACTTACTCTCATCCCTATTTGTGCATAAAATACGAACAATTATCTTATGCAATAATGTTTTTAGAGACTTTTCTTTGATAATAGAGATTTTAGAGATTTTTTTCAACTTTGTATTTAATTTATTTTTTATTTATCATAATTATTTATGAATTAAATTTTAATATTTAAAAATAAATAATAAATAAAAATAATTTTGTACTACAATATAAATTATTTATCATAAATCTAAAATATAATTTATATATTCAAAATATCTGCTTATTCTAATTTTAAATATAATTTATTCATTCAAACATAAATAATATTTATTCATATATGTAATTTATTTTAAATTTTAATTATACGTAATAAATATTTAACCTATGAAATCAAGACGAACAAAAAAAAAAAAAGGAGTGAATCAAAAATTTGATTTTCGTTAATATTTTGAGATACTGGCTTATGGAGGAGATGATTGTACTAGGAATTCGAAAGGGTTAAACTAAACTAAATTACATGTTAATTAAACTCAATTATAAAAGTAGTTCATCTAAATTGAACTAAACTATAAAATAATTTAGAAAAATTAAACTATATTATTTTCTAATTTAGTGATGTAACGACCCGGCTGGTCACTACACACACAGCACCGTACACTAGAAATACCGCACAGAAAAGAACAATTGTATACATATAGAGTCTAGAATATACATATACATGATCCCGTCTGAACAAAGTTAAAGTGTACAAAAATTTCAATCAAATGCTACTATCCCAAGTAGCTCAACAACAAAATAGTCATAAAGGAAAATCAGCTCCGCCGAACCGCTGAAGACTCGCCACTAGACAACCACCTATCCCTGCTCTGCTCCCATACATAGTATGATCATTGCAGTCCAAACATCATGGAAACAACAAAGGGTAAGCTAGTGAAATTTATAATCAACATATAAATATAGGGCAATATGATAAACAACAACTACAGCTTATACCACCCAACAATATCAGCACCGCACGACGGTAATATCAGCACTGCTTAGCAGCAAAAATAGCACCACTCAAGTGGCTATAACAGCACCGCAAGGCAGCAACAACAGCACCGACTTAGCGGCTATATCAGCACCACCTATGTGGCTAATAACAGCTCCGACTTAGCGGCTATAATATCACACCACTCAGCACAGCACAACACAGCATATCAACATACAACACGACTAAGTAGTACTCAACACAACTCACTACTCACACCTCAGCTCATTATTCTAGAGCACAACAAAAATAATAAATTACATCATTTAATTTCAACTATAACAGCCAGCTCAGCACAACATTAACATCTATCCAGCGCAGCATACTTGTTTATTCCAGCAAGGTTTAACGAATAAAGGCATATCAATTCAGCATTCTTATACGCACCCAGCGCACCCAAGGTCGCGCCCAGCACAGCTCAAATAGAGAGCATTAGGGGCCAACACGCCTAGCGCCAGACTGCTTGCGCCCGGCGTGGCCCCTTGCGCGCCTGGCGCAATTGAGAATTGCGCCCAGCGCTGATCAGGCAGAGACTCCATGGAGCCATTCGCGCCTAGCGTGCCTGAATCCGCGCCCAGCGCGGGGAAGGCAGAGACCTCCGCTTGGTCTCGCGCCCAGCGCAATCTGAATTGCGCCCAGCGCCCTCTTGGCAGAGACTCCCAAGGAGTCTCGCGCCCAGCGCGACTAGGTTCGCGCTCAGCAGAATCACCACCCAAAATATTGCATGTGCGCTTAGCGCGATCCCTGCCCCGCCCAGCGTGGGCCAACCAGAGGCTCACCTTCTCAAGCTCGCCCGGCGCACACATCTTTGCGCCCCGCGAGCTTGTCAAAAAGGAGCCCCCAGGTGGTCTGGCGCCCGGCGCGAAGAACCGCGCTCAGCGCGAGGCTCAATAGCAACTTCCCCAAGTTCAAAAATTTTCCTAAAACCTGCAAAACTTCACATTTCCAACACATGCTATCCAGCCAAAATACCACATTTTCATTATAGAATCCAAAAATGCTATCTTTTCGCCCATGCAAGCAACAATCAAGAAAAACCCAAATTTCTCAAGAAAACCCAAAAACCCCCAAAGTTCGTGTCCAGCAATCACAATCAAGGATCTTCAATCATCAACTAGCAATTTGAGCCTCTAAAGCTCGTTTTCAGCCTAAACACCGCAAAACTAACTTCCCTTACCTCGGAGAAGAAATTCAAGCTTCAGGAAGAAGAATAACGAGAGGAAGAGAAAGAAAGGCTTGAACGACGAAGGAGAAGAAGGAAAACTCCTACTACTCAGCTAGCAAAATCTCGAATCTGCTCCGCACCACCACCTTCAATGGCCAAATGAAAGATCAAAGGAAAAAGAATGAGAGTTGAGAGTGAAAAAGAGTTTGAGTGAGCAAAAGAGAGAAGGGAGAAAAGAGTTACGGGTCTTACAATCTCCCCGACAACAAGAGTTTTCGTCCCCGAAAATAGACTTACTTGGGAAAAGAAACGGATACTGATCCCTACACTGCTGCTCCATCTCCCAAGTAGCCTCACTAGTAGCTGCATCCCACAACACTTTCACCAGAGCAATAGACTTGCCCCTCAGTTCCTTCAGCTTGTTATCAACAACAACTACTGACAACTTCTCAAAAGTCAGATTCTGCTTCACTTGCACATCGTCCAGCTCCACCACATGACTTGGGTCATGAACATACTTCCTTAGCTGGGATACATGAAATACATCGTGTAGGTTTGAAAGAGATTGTGGCAAAGCCAACCGATAAGCAACTGAACCCACACGCTGTATGATCTGATAGGGACCCACGAACCTCGGTGTCAACTTCCTTGCCCTCAGCGCTCTCCCCACACTAGAAGTCGGAGTCACCTTCAAAAACACATGCTCCCCTTCGACAAACTCCAAAGGCTTACGCCTTTTATCAGCATATGATTTTTGCCTACTCTAAGCAATCCTCATCTTCTCCTGAATCATCTTCACCTTTTTAGTAGTTTGTAGGATCAACTCTGGTCCCACAACCACTGACTCACCCTCCTAGTACCAGCATAGAAGAGTCCTACATCTCCTACCATATAAGGCTTCATACGGTGCCATCCCAATACTGGCAAGAAAACTGTTATTATAAGTAAACTCCACTAGCGGTAGGACCTCCTCCCAGCTCCCCAAGTGGTCTAATACACAGGTCCTCAGCAGATCCTCCAAGGACTGGATTGTCCTCTCTGACTAACCATCCATTTGTGGATGATAAGCAGAACTCAGCTTCAACTTCGTGCCTAGGGCTTGATGTAGACTCTGCCAAAATCTAGAAGTGAACCTCGGATCCCGGTCAGAAATAATACTGGAAGGCACCCCGTGCAACCGTACTATCTCCCTCACATACAACTGTGTCAGCTTCTCCAAGGACCACTTGATGTTGACAGGCAAGAAATGCGCACACTTGGTCAACCGGTCAATAATCACCCAGATAGCATCACTATTCCTAGCTAACCTAGGCAACCCCACAATGAAATCCATAGTAATGCTATCCCATTT